AGGACACGTGACATGTCATGATTCCCTTTTATTCCAGAAGTTTGGTCCTTCAGGGGTTAAACCAATTATGTATGTAGGGATTTCATTAACGCTTGCTTTTACCCAGCTGTACAAGGCAAAACATATAACCCTCACATGCAACCTCAAGTGGTATATGAAGAGTTAGGACAGGTACACTACATTATGGATAGGGCTGATCCACTGTATTAAGATGACCCTTGCCAAGTGCACTAACCAGCAGTCTCTCTCTCATACATAAACACTGCAACAAAATATGGATTAGTTGATGTGGTGGTGAGGCGCCTGCTCATCTAAGTGAAGCACTGAGGCTTACCCTCTTTAAAACTATATTACTAGGCAGCAAGACTAGCCCAAGGCCACACATGTGTGCACCTGGAATCTGATCTCATGAGAGAGACCTATCTTAAATGTTGGTTTAGGCCTGTGTAGAGTATTATGTAGCACTATAAGACAGCATGGCATCCATCATACTGTGACCTTTCATCCCTTTACCATGGCTCTTGTCCTGTGTAACATTTATTTCCCCTCCCGTTTAAAGACTGTAATCTTAAGGGTTTGTGGGAAATAGGAATTCAGAGATCCCAAGATCTACATGACTCTCCTTTGACTCTGCTGGAAAGGAGATGACTTATTCCAAGAAATTACTTTTGTCTTTAGACCTGGTTTGAATTCATATACTTAGAGGGAGCCAACGAAAAAGGCTTCAAAACCTGCTTAAACAAGTATGATCTTTGGGACTATCCCATTCTTTGGTAATGGGATGTTAATGAAGTTTTAGACTGGAGTGGATGGGAGAATATTTGGGAGGTAGAATATACTCATGAGGAAGCTTGTTACATCCATTAAAAACTCATGGGGAACTCTATTCCTTATGTCTTGAGCAAGGCATCTTTTACCACATGTTAGAAAATGCTACAAAGTAACGAGAGTCTGGTCTAAAAATTTATTAAGTGCTTTCTGAGTTAAAGGACCACTGTAGTGCCCTGAGTGCCCCCTCCCGCCAGGCTCTGGAGAGAGGAAGGTTAAAAATCTTACCTTTCTCCAGCGCCGGGCGGGGAGCTGTCCTCCTCCTCTCCTTCTTCCTAGCGACCGCGCATTCAGCCAGTTCATAGGAAAGTATTTACAATGCTTTCCTATGGACGCTGGCGTCTTCTCACTGTGAGAAGCACGCAAGCGCCTCTAGCGGCTGTCAATGAGACAGCCACTAGAGGCTGGATTAACCCTCCGTGTAAACATAGCAGTTTCTCTGAAACTGCTATGTTTGTTTAAAAAAAAAAAAAAAAGGGGTTAATCCTAGCTGGACCAGGCACCCAGACCACTTCATTAAGCTGAAGTGGTCTGGGTGCCCATAGTGGTCATTTAATACTCAATGCAACAGATTTGTCTTTTTTGAACTCTACCCTATCCAAACCCGTAGATGCCCTTACAATACATCGAAACACGTTAATAAGGAAAGCAAGGAGGGCCTTGGCAGAGTCCTAGAGAGACATTGACCCTGGCCAGTTGTTACGGTCAAGGCATTGATGTATTTATCAAAAGTAGAACTTTATGGTAACAATCCATCTGAAGGCACAACCTGTCGATTTGGGTTTTAATGAATTTATCCTTCCCGTCATTCCTCTCCTTGTAGCTTTATTCTGCTTTGTCTTTTACTGTAAAAAGTGATGTGATCCTGGTTATTGCACACATCTTTAACCTCTCTGCAGAGGCATTGCTAGGTTATAAAGACTGCAGGTGGGAGCCAATAAGAGGGTAAAATCCCATTGTGCCACCTCAGCACCCATTCATGGGCAGTGGGTGGGGCTATTAAGTTAATAGTGGGCAGCATCTGAATTCATGGGCAGTGGGTGGAGGCTATTTAAAAAAAATAAACAAGGGGAGTGACATGCCTTTGTCTACCTGCCAGTCATGGGTGGAGGGAGGGTAATGTCATTGTCCACCCCTTAAAAATTTTAGAGAAAGGTGAACTATCACAGCTTTTTTTTTTTCTCAATTCAAGGTTTATTGGTGAAACCGTGTATTCAGCACAATAAAACAAAGCATATATGAGCACAAGGGACAAAAGGTAACACAGCATTAGGTAGGCAAAGGTGAACATACTACCAAAGATGTGTCGAAAAGTAATAAAGCATAGTATAGGCAATGTCAAACTAAAAAATGGTTTTGAACAGCAAAGCACGACGTAAAGACCGGACGATATGCAGATTTCCGGACACTGATTTAAAAAAAGAAAGAAAGAAAAAAAGACGTGTAGAACAGGTAACTAACATTTCAGCCATGATGTGAGCTCTGGGGAAAAAAAGATAAGAATATTGTGGGGGCGTGGCCTAACAGTCAATGGAGTAGGACGCACTCATTCCGAGCTCCTAGGCCCCAACCTGATTTGCCCCGATTAACCAGCACAGCAACGCCGCAGAAAGCGCACCTCCATGGGGGGGAAAAATCGACGGCTACCTACCGCAGCCCAGGTCACTCCGGCCCCTTCCCGACCGCCAGCGGGCCCGATGGACGAGTTCCTGGCCACGCCGCATGGCCTCCGCGACACGGGCGAGACCGGAACACCGGCCCTCGATTCCCCGGGCTCCAGCATAGCGGGCTCGGCGCGGGAATCCAGTACCCCTGGCACCCTGTCCCAAATATCCGCGGACCTCGCCGCGATCTCCGCGAGCATGATGACCCGGAAGGATAAAGGTGAAATGGTGGCTGAGCTGAGGGCCATAATAAGGGAAGAAATAGCGGCTGTGCGCACCGACCTCACGGCGCTGGAGCAGCGAGTAGACAGGTTGGAAGAGGAGCGCATACAATCCCAGCAGCACAGACAGGCAGCGGAACTGGCAACCACGAGGCAGGGCAACATCCTCCTGGACCTCCGCCGGCAGGTTGAGGATCTTGATAACCGCGGCCGGCGTAACAACATCAGAGTCAGAGGCCTGCCTGAATCCGAGGACGAGGTACCGCAGGAGATCCTGAATGGCCTATTTGCGCAACTACTAGGAGATGCAGCTCCTGGCGACTTCGGCATCGAAAGGGCCCACAGGGCACTCCGCGCCCCCAGAAGAGACGGGCAGCCAAGAGACATGATTTGCGCCCTCCTGTCATTCCCGCTAAAAGAATCTATAATGCGGGCAGCACGTGCACAGCAGCACATCACTTACATGGAAGCACAAATATCCCTTTACCAGGACTTATCTACCATCACCCTAGATGCCCGCAGGGCCCTGCGGCCTCTCACCCGAGCACTTCAGGAGCGACGAATTCCATACAAATGGGGATTTCCATTTAGCCTGCAGGCCCGGATGGGAAACGTATGGCACATCATCCGCTGGCCGAACGACGTGCCACGGTTTTTAAGAACCGCCAACTTACCTGCTATCTCAGTGCCAAACTGGATCCTGGAGGAACCCCCGGCGCGAGCCACAGGCCCATCTGAAGTGGCACACAACATCCACCTGGAGCCTGGACCACCAAGACGCAGAGGTGGCCCAATAGGCCCTGAGGAATAGAGGCCCCCACGCCGCACGGACCAGTGGCCCCCCCTGGGTCATCCCATGCCAGATCAGGGCATTGCCTCCTGAGCTTACCCCAGCTATGATTATGGACGCCATGCAGATCCGATGACACCACGGCAGGGGTATGTACTTTTAAGTCCGCTGCCAGCTTGCATTAGCTAGTAGACAGGGAGGAAGGCCGCAGACAGGTGGGGAGGGAAATGAAGCCACTTTCGGGGAGCGGCCGGGAGCTAGGGCCCCATCAGCAAACCCACACACCCGGGGCAAAAAGGCGGACATACCCCGTAGGTGGGGAGGGGATGATGGGCAGGGTACAAAGGGTCTGGACACCGACACCATCACCCGGGTCACACCCTGGGTCAAGACTGCTGAACTGAACAGGCAGCTCTAGCACACCGCTGCTCACGGACCAGAGCTGAGGGGGGGCTGCGGGAGGGCGAGGGCAACGGGACATGCGGGCACACAGGGCTAGAGCTGGGAGGGGGGCTGGGACAAAGCTGGGCACTTCTTGTTCATGTTGTTTAGTTATACACGGTTCCGTTTATATCACCCAACACACATCACAGCCACTCACATGAGGGGACAACCACACACAATCTGCCTCACTGAGACAAGCAAGACGCCATGTTGGTACACCCCACTACGAAAGCCCAGGCACGCAGATAACTATCATGACGGAAATCCTGGGCGCAGGGAGAGACCACGTCCCAAACCAGCCCCTCTGAAGGGACGCAAACGTGGGAGCTGGCGAGCCACGCCCATAGGGTGGCCTCACAATGCAGCCCAACACATGTAGGACTGACTACCCCCAAACAGCGCCCTAACACCCCAGACACGCCGACTTGTAGCCAACGAACTGTAAGTTGCCAGGCGGGGGAGGGCAGACACGGAGGGCCCCGGGGTGTCCGGTAGACAAAACCAGTCGAATCCCCTGACAGCACCCGGCCATTAAGACCGGGAAGCCAGGAGAGCCGACCGTGACGGGGGGACCCACGGGTACCACTGACCATAATGCCGACAGGACCGGTAGGCTTATCCGCTCCCAGACCTCGGGACTGCGGTACAGGACACCACAGCCCGACCGACACTCTAAGTCCCGGGCGACTACTGCGGACCCCTAGGCTAGAGTAGGCAAACATGGCGATTGCACACACCCTTACAGGTTGGGTGCCGATGGAGAGGGGAGAGAACCAACCTCACTCAGATCCGAGACCGACTTCACTGTAAGTGACCATACGGAACCCCCACTGAGACAGACCCACACTGTACATTACACCGGCGTTCTCGTCGCTGAGGTTACCCACCAGGCTCGAGAACGAATACAACCGGTACAGGGTCAGAGTCACACCCGCACACCTAGAAGACACGCCAGACCGTTCACATCACCACCACAGACAGACAGACCCCCCCCACACTCACCACCTTTACATCATACAGACAACACTGCGGGGACGCCGCCCTGCCGCCGGGATGGACGCCTCGCGAGGATTTGTCCCGGCCCAACTGACATACTGGTCCAATAATGTTCAGGGGCTTAACACACCTGAAAAGCGCGCGCACCTGGTAAGGCGCCTATGGGCCGTGAGAGCCTCCGTGGCGTTCCTGCAGGAGACTCATCTCCGAGGACTGGACGCCCCCAAACTAGAGAACAGACGCTACCCGCAGGGATTCTACGCGAACCACCCAGACGCTAAGAGGGCTGGTGTGGCAATACTCTTTGCACAGACGACGCCGTTCCAACATATAGCAACGCAGGCGGACCCGAACGGCAGATTCCTTTTCATTAAGGGTACAATCATGGAACACATGTATACCTTCGCATGCCTCTACGGCCCGAATAGAAAGCAGCATACATTCCTGGCTCGGACGCTAGCCAAATTGGAGAAATTCAGAGACGGCCTCTTGGTCATGGCAGGTGACCTCAACTTACCACTGGACCCCCGCACGGACACCTCCAGAGGACAAACCGCGATCCCGACGCACTGCATACGAGCAGCACTACGAGCTATACATAAACACGGCCTGGTGGATTGTTGGAGGGCATGTAACCCTGAAGGTAGAGACTACACCCATTATTCGACAGTCCATAAAAATTACAGTCGCATAGACTATATATTCCTGGCCCAGGAATACCTCAACCTCCACCACGACGCACGAATAGGCATAATGGACCACACAGACCATGCACCACTGACGATCCGCACAAGCTCCCCACTATATAAACCCCGCGAAAGACACTGGAAACTGAATGAATCCCTACTGGACGATGCAGAGTGTAAGAGGGTGACTACTCAAACCTTAACTGAATACTTTAATACCAACGAAGATACGGAGACGCCACCGTTAACGATATGGGAAGCTCACAAATGCGTCATACGGGGACATTTCATCGCCATAGGCACCAAACGCAAGAAGGAACGAACACGACGTATCACAACACTGCTAGACTGGATAGCTGACCTAGAAGGGGAACACAAGACGGACCTCGCAGACAGCACCTACCTCCGCCTGACGGAAGCACGAAGGGAGCTGAAAGCCATACTATCACAAGGACTCCTACACACCGCGAGGAAGGCCTCCAGGTATTATTATGAACACTCGAACAAAAGTGGTAGGTTGCTAGCTAGGATGCTACAAGACAGAAGGAAAGCGCAACATGTTCACAAGATACGCACGAGCAGTGGAGACACAACCTGCCTCCCGGACGGCATACTGTCAGCGTTCCGGGAATACTACGCGGCGTTATATAACCAACCACGACTCCACCACGACAGAGACATAGGTAGCCATCGAGAACGGATAACCACATACCTTCAGAACCACATCACCCGTCAGCTTACCCCGGACCAGGAGGCGGAACTCGAAATGCCCTTGACGATTGAGGAACTATCTGGCGCACTGAAATCAACTAAAGCGCACAGGGCCCCGGGCCCAGACGGTCTACCAGTCTCGTACCTACGCTCCTTCAAAGACACCCTGCTGCCCAAACTTCTGATAGGCATCAACTCAATCAGAGATGGAGGCCAATTCCACAGAGACACCCTGGGAGCAACCGTGGCAATAATACCCAAAGAGGGTAAAGACCCAACAATCTGCGCCAGCTACAGGCCCATCTCTCTGATAAACGCGGACATCAAACTCTTCGCTAAGGCACTGGCACTCAGGATGGCCCGGACGCTTCCGGATCTGGTGCACCCGGACCAAGTGGGGTTTATCCCCGGAAGAGAAGCCAGAGATAACACTATTCGAGCCCTCAACACCATCCATACCGCTAAAACGGGCAAAAAGGAAATGGTCCTACTATCCACTGACGCTGAAAAAGCGTTTGACAGGGTGGACTGGGTCTATATGTCGGAAACCCTACGACATTTGGGATACGGTCCACACCTGCGGACCTGGATAACGGCTCTATACACCTCGCCCACAGCCCGCATAAGAATAAACTGAGCACTGACTGACTCGTTTGATATACATAACGGCACGAGACAGGGCTGCCCCCTGTCCCCACTCCTGTTTGCCCTCACCCTGGAGCCCTTCTTGGAGGCGGTCAGACAGGACAGGGGTATCACGGGGTGCAGCATAGGAGGAAGAGAACACCGGGTAGCGGCTTACGCTGACGACATGCTCTTCTTCCTGGAGCAACCCAGAACCTCCCTCCCACATCTCCTGGCGGCGTTTCGACAATACAAGGAGGTATCCGGCTTGACGCTTAATCTAGATAAGTCAGAGATATTGCTGCTCGCACAGGACAACATCCTCCAACGACACATCCAAGCACAATTCCCCTTCAAGATCTCCACAGCCAAGCTACACTACCTTGGGGTGTGGCTCCCGAGAGATTTCACACTTATCTACCGACTGAACTTTGCGCCCCTGCTCACCACCTTACAGCAAGACATGAAACGCTGGACACCTCTGTACATCTCGTGGTTTGGGCGCATCAGTGCCGTAAAGATGAACATTATGCCCAGATTATTATACCTGTTCCAGACACTACCAACGTACCTCCCGAGGGCATTTTTTCAGACCCTGACGACCGCAGTCAGGAACTTCGTCTGGAACCAAAAACCAGCGCGTATCCGAAGAGCGATTCTTGAACGCCCTAGAGGAGAAGGAGGTATGGGATTGCCGTCCATCCTCACGTATTACCACGCTACCCATCTGCACAGACTGGTTGATTGGCATGCAAACCCCAGTACAAAGCAATGGGTAGACCTGGAGAAACACCAAGCCCAGGGACGAATCCCCGCTATGCTATGGCTGGGAGACGCACTACCCAAGGAACTACTTACCGGGAACCCAATGATCGACGCCACGCTGAAGGTGTGGTGTAGGATACGTTACTCCAAAAACCTCACGTCATCGCCCAACCCACTCACACCAATAACACACAATCCGAGGTTAGCGGGAGGGCTAAGCACGGCAGACCTGAAAAATCTCGGAGCAACGGACTGGGTATACGCTAGCCAATGGAATTCCGGGACGACGCTCAAACCCCTGGCAACGCTGATGCAGGACCGTAGGCCCAGTGGCCTAGACACATTCCGATATCACCAAGTGAAAACATACCTCGACGGCATTGCGGGTAAAGGCCACCTACACCGCCCATTGCTGATGATGGAACATCTATGCACGGCCAGACAACACCTCTCACATGGAGTCTCACACCTCTATACCACGCTGCTAAGCGACGGTGATAAGAGCCCCCTAGGCTTCACATCGCGATGGGAAAGAGAGACCGGGATGGAACTTACGGAAAAGGAATGGCTTAAAATCTTTCAACTAACACACAGGGGGACCATCAGCTCCAAGTTCCAAGAATGCAACTACAAAATTCTAACAGGATGGTACCGGACGCCAGATATCCTGCAGCACGTGCATGAGTCAATCTCAAACGAATGTTGGAGATGCGGCACAGGAATAGGAACCAGCATTCACATCTGGTGGACATGCCCACGTATCGAACCGTTCTGGAGGATGATACATCAGACGACCAAAGACATCACGGGCTCAGACGTCCCATTCCAACCCATGCCACTGCTTCTCAACCACACGCGTACGCCGGTGAAGATCTACAAGAGAGGAATCCTCATACACCTACTCACGGCAGCGAAGTCGCTCATCCCACTCCATTGGAAAAGCTCGACAATTCCAACCCTGCAACAATGGGTAGATAGGGTGGAGATGATATATAACATGGAGATGATGACAGCCTCCCTGCAGGGACGCCAGGAAAAATGCGCTTTGGCGTGGTACCCATGGATAGACTACACATCAAAACGGACGGGAGGACGAGACCCGGTGGAGAGGGACGGCGCCCCCGCACCAACACAACCCACCCAACAGAGCTCTGCACAGACACAGGCAGTGCCAGACGAGTAGATTGCACCCTCAGCACGACGGAGACACACTTCCTACGCGACCCCCCACCCCTCCAACCACATGACACATAGACACACAAAAGACCCGGAGGGACACAACCCCCGGGGGCACGCAGACCGACTTAAGGCTCCGCACAAAGCGGAATCAATGAGTAAGCAGAGACAGAGACGGAGGACCATGGGTCACGGGAGGGGAGGAGTGACCCGCTAGAGCGACATATGGACCAATACACTAGGGGACGGAGGGAAGAGAGAGACCGGGACGCAAGGAACATGGACTCACCCCCACCCCAGACACAAGAAGCCACGACCGGAGCCAGTAGCACCCGGCCCTGACCACGCCAACTAACAACTGGGGCTGCCGCAGGTGGCATACATAACCCCACACACACACCGAACCCAGCGAGACCCAAGATAAGAGATAACAACCTAGAATTAGGTATCCAGAAGAGTCACGGGGACCGTGCTACATGCCCCAGGGATGATATGATCACACCCACCACACGAGCGACTCAAACCAGGGGCCTGAGGTGACGAAACGGCATCTGACACAGACCCCACACACCGCACAACGATAGAACAAGACATCACAGGATAACCCTACATATACTAGCTGCGCCTACGGACAACCCAGGTCAACTACCCCCAGGGAAAACCTAAAACAGATCGACACAGGGAAACTAGGGGGTAACTTCACGGTCACAGGGGCAAAATAATTGGCCCCCTCATGATTTAAGGCTGAGCCCATCCACACCAGGCTCATTACGACCTAAACCAACACACAAATCAAACACGAACCAGACTGGACCCCCATACAAAGCCCCAGACGGTACCCCCCCCCAAAGAAGGACACACGTAGACAGACATAACACGGATTGGGACAAAGCTCTATATCCATCAACCTGGCACTAGAAACACGACCAAAGCACCATGTACGAGGCTGGGGACAAAGATGAACTGCACCACACATAGACGGAGACTACCACACCTCTTAAGTACCATAGGTCACACTAGACCCAATAAGTAAGTGAGGGGAAACCTTGCACTGAGCCAACCTCTCTATTAGGGTCCTACCTACAAATGAGGAAGCTCAGATACCAATGCAGGGTTGTACAACTCACCCTCTGACCCACGAGCACAACACAGAGCGGTTGAAACAACCCACCCGAAAACTCACACGAACCTTGAGGAGCAACCACAAACTCCATTCGCACCCGACCACAGAGGGGATTAACCCCATACAGGGCTAACGACAGAACACAACACAAAAGAACGCTCACTGTTATAATGAAGCCAAATACTCAAATACAATTTATTATCCAGTAGATGAAACTATCTTGATGCTGTAATACACATAACTGACCAGTTTATATGTTACCACATGTTAATTTATATTGGATATACATGCTGTGATTGAATATTGAAAAACTTAAATAAAGAATGTCAAAAAAAAAAGAATATTGTGTTGCAGGACTTAGGAGCTGAAATATCTATAGAGGCCTACGTGAATTCCACCCCCATGAGCATCAGTGTG